CCACCTTCTTTCCGGCGGGTCCCAATTTAATATTCTTTTAGCCACCTATGCTCTGGCATTCTTTGTACATGCCCGTACCACTGCAGGTCTCTGTTTTCCAACTTTTTTGTAATTGAGCATTCTACTTCCATTCTGTTCCATATTTTCTCCGTTCTTATTCTATCCGCTCTTGTGATTTGTAGACATCTTCTCATAAAGTCCAGTTTAACTGTTCTTATTTTATTTCGTATTGTTGTGATTGGCCATACTTTCGCTTCATATAGGGTAATATTCATCACTATGCTTTGAAAAAGCCTCTTTTTGTTTTCTTTGGTTAGAGTGTTGTTCCATATCACTCCATGAAGTGCTCTTGTGGCTTATTTTCCCCGTCCTATTTTCATTTTTATATCTTTCATACCAGGACCATCTTGGCTAATCATTGACCCTAAATACTTAAAAGTCTTACAACTCTTAATAGTCTTTTCTTTTGAATTTAAGTTCAAATCTGCAACCTCGGGTCCAATATATAAGTATTCGGTCGTGCACATATTTATCTTGAGTCCCCAAAGTTCATATTCTTCATTAATTAAAAGTGAAACTGGAACAAACCATGAAGTGGAGATATCCAGGAGTGGCTAGTATACCTGTTGAATACAATATTCATATTTTTCATTTAATTTTCTTATCATATATTCTATATCCTCCCTGTCTTGTGCAAAAATGACTTGATCATCTGCGAAAAGTAGTGAATGTAATATATTCTCTTGTACTGGTATGCCCATTGTTCCGCATTTTCTATACCATCTTTTTAAAGCCTGATCTATATATATGTTAAAAAGTGTAGGTGAGAGATCACATCCCTGTTTGAGGCCTTTTGCTGCGGTGATTGTTTTAGTTATTTCATTACCTAACTTTATTTGCACTTGTGTTTCTTTATACAGTCTTTGTGTTATATTCACCCATTTCTCTCTAACGCTCATTTTTATCATTGCTTTCCATAGTTGTTTCCTGGGCACGCTATCGTATGCTTTCTCTAAGGCGATAAAGGTCATATGTGTATCAATGTTTTATTATTTGTTCTTTTCAATCACCTACCTTATAATAAATATATTATTTAAACATGATCTGCCTTTTCGGAATCCGGCATGTTCCTCCTATACTGGTCCATATGTTGTTCTAGTTTTTCTTTTATAACTGATGAAAAGATTCTTGCTATTGAAGGCATTACACTGATCACTCTGTAGTTATTTGTTGACATTTTGTCACCTTTTTTGAAAATGAAAGACATGTATGATAAATTCCACTCATCGGAAATCTTCTCTCCTGCTTCGATTTAATGGAACAACAAAAATAAACAAAGGATTAAATCCTACAAATGTTAAATACTATTCTACAACTCTTAATAACCATAAAATGTCAAAAAAATTCTATTTAGGTTAAATTCTTTGAGATAATCAGTATTAAAGTTTAAAACTAATAATAAAAAAGAAAGAAAAGTCGGAAGGACAAAAGGGAGTTAGTGGAGAGAACATTACTGCTGAAGAATATTAACGACTGGGCAGGTTTTCGCTGATCTGTTATCGAACAACTCTTTAAACTTGAGCAGGATCGAGAAAATTTGCAGAAATAATTGCCAACTTCTGATAGACAAGACCCATAAATATAAAAAAGATGAGAACATAGATGAGATATTTTATCCTTTGCATATATCCTCCTTCTTTTATATTGTTGAATAATTTAAATACCTGGTGTAAATGTAATATCATTGACCGGATTAATTCTCTTCTACTATTTGCTTATTTTTTAATTTTGCCTAGCATAATATTATATATTCTGCTGGAAAAAGTATGTACTTTTATCATCCCATAAGAGCCCATATACTTGATGACAATAGTAAAATGGCAATGATGAAAAAATCTACCAATTCCTTAAATGTTGTCTAAAAGTATTTCTATTTCTTGAGATATCCTTCAGGGTTTTTTATTTATGTCTTTGTTTTTGGCTTTTAAGTTAAAAAGGGAATTTTACAAAGATCTTTAATATCTCTATGTTTTACTTTTAGTGTAAAATAATTTAGAATTCTCGTACCTCACTTCATTAAACATCCAAAATCAATATTTAGGATGTGTTTTGGATAATTATTCACTACAACTTGCCATATACGAAAATAGACTCCTATTTTTTTGATCTTAGGCTTTTACGTATTCGGGTAGTTCTTATAAAAATATGCTGTGCTATAAAATAATTTAAAATAAAAAACCAGTAGTCTAAATTAGCCTTCTTGAAATAAATTTTTATTTCTTTGTAAGGTTTGTTTCATATGGCTTCTAAGTAAAAAATATTTTTTTTAGCAAGTTGTAGTTACGGGGAGATAAAATAGTAAGTAAAGATAACAAGAAATTTTAAAAAGTGTCTAGGGGTATCACAAGAAGATATTTTAATAATTAGAAAAATTAAATAAAACGATTTTATTCTTATTTTGTATAGCAAAACAAAAATATTTATGGCTACTATAATTATTGCATTAATGTGAAATACTCTATTTTTTAATTTTGTATTTTTGTCTTATAAAAAATTAATTATTTGGTTTAACTAACGCATGTCAATATAATGTTTATTTTTGATTAAAATATACATATTTTGATATTTAATATCTTGTATTTTTAAAATTACTTTTTGTTTTAACAAACGATCATTTTTCACAGATCATTTAAACGTTGTGATCAAAGTTCGTTGTTTTCAAATTGTTTTTAACGTAGGTATAGTAAACTGTTAGGTAATATAATTTGCTGGTAATTTTTATTTATTTGGTACGAGTGTACACTTCTCCAGTTTTAGGACAAAATGTAAAAAAATTGTTTCTACATTGTGCATTAAATATAAACTGTGTTATATTCTATAAAGGTATTAAATTATTTAGTAGTCAGGAAAATTTTTATAGATGTCATTTTTAAAATTTGTAGAAAGGTTTTACCATACTTAATTTTTTCACCGTAAATATTTATGTTATAAGATATGGTTACTTGGATACTTGAATAAGAATTCTCATCTAGTTGCGATATGTAAACTCTAGTTATAGTAGGTACTCAAGTAACCATAAACAAAAAATGTATGTTGTTTTTCATGACTAAAAACTATAGGCAAAAATTTAAAAAGAATATTTTTTATGAAATAGTAAATCGACAATACTAAATCAAGTCAGTTGATAACTACTTAATGATTCAATTTCATTACACCACTAACTAACTTTTGAACAGGTCAAAAAGGACGTTAGAAACAGCATAAATGGTAACACTCAGAAAAATTGATGGTAAAACACTATGGGACAGAGCTATAAATACAGATATACGACATAGCTGCAAGGTGTAGAACATCAAGGACTGGGTAAATAATAAAAGATTAGAATGGATCAATCATATTACCAGAATAACAGCAATTAGATTAGTAAAGATGACAAGAGACGATTGATCAATAGAAAGACGATCAGTAGGAAGACCACGAAAAAGATATCTCGACAACTTAATGAAGGCACATTGAAAACAGACAAAATCATGTCTACATAAATGGAAAAAGAAGATATTATACGGCCTAGTTATTTGAGTTTGCTCAATTTAAAGTTTCGTCATCATTATTATAATTTTGGCTTTATAACCCTATGTGGGTCCTAGCCTCCCCAAGAATTTTTTCCAGTCGTTCCTATCCACCGCCTTCCTCCGCCAAGCACGTATTTCCATATTTCTTATTTTTACAAATTTAGGTTCTTTATTTATTTGATACAATTAAAAAATACCTCCTCTGATCACAATCATTCGCACAATATCGTATGCAATAGCCAATCTGACAATATCATATGCAAATACTTCTCTTTAAAGCATCCTAACATTTTCCTATCTAGTCTTTATTGTTCGCTGTTTGGACTGGGAGGATCAGAATTTTAAACTTTTTATCACTTATATTTCTACTGATCAATTTTAATGTATGTACCAAGATATGCCCCATATAGCATCGGTTAGACGTTAATATGTTTATGTTACTTTAATCATTATAGGAGGATCCTTAGTGGTTAGAAAGAGAACATCTCTTTTATCTTACCACTGGCTAACAATAACTTTTGTGTTGCTTTGTAAACATTTAATTTCTTCTCGTTTGAGCTTGACATTTACTGCAGCTTTTGGATTGCGTTTTCCAGTACCTAAAAGAGGTTGCATGAGTTCAAAACTACCATAGAAGCTAAGGATTTCTCTAATGGTATTTCTTTTCTCCCGTAAAGTTGAACGGCATATGTATAACTTTCAGATAAACAAAGTTTTAATAGCTTAATATAATATTAATGCTTTTTCCCGATATATATTAAAGAAAACTTAACCTTCCACGATTATTTGGCGTACAAATTTTCTAAAATATACCATTTAAGATTGTTATAACAGGTGACATTTTATTAAGTCTGTTTTTTAGTGAAATGTTTTTATTATCCGAAATTTGGAAAAAGTATAAAAGGACCTCGAATCGGTTTCTGGTAAAACCAGAAACAAATTTTAAAAATCGCTTTTTTATAAAGTGGATTGTTGCTCCAATAGCCTCTCATCTCTGGTTTCTTGTCTAATTCCATCCACAGTATAACTGCTAGAAGCAAATAATTTTTTACGGATCCATTTACAATCTTCTCAACTACTTTCTGTTGAGCATATCTATTTGTTTCTATTATTAACACCTCTTGAATTTTATTATCAACAAATAATAAGTAAAAATCAATAGGTTCGTGACCACGTCAATGCTCTCTGTTAATGTTGAATCCTGGACTATCAGTATATTCAAATTTATGTAGTTATTCCGAGCTATCTCTTTCTTTTTACAATATTTTATTTGCTCTTAAAGAAACATAGTCTATGTTGACGGTTTATTAAGCTTCTTTTTGTTCTAAATAATCCACAAACCAATACAAAATTAAAAATTGCAAATAAGACATCTTACCAATTACTAAATCATTGAATAAATTCGAAGGACCTGCTTCGTTATACAACTTATGTTTCTTTTTTTGGTCTACTAACATCGCCACCCCTTTTCTATAAAGTAAAAAACAATCAAGATACTAATCTGTACGACAAGTAAAATCAGTCATCTATTGCCACTTTATGAATAGAATTACTGGGTCCAGTTTCTTCATCACTACTAGAATAAAGTTGATAACTGTCATTCTTTCCATAAGCAGGATCAGCATCATAGTCACAATCATATACTGCATCCCTCACGTGACCACAATCTCTTAAACACGATAAAATACTAAGGCCAAATTGTTACACATAATCTGTGGTAAAAACGTGATGTGTACCAGTGTGGTGCACATGGAGCTTAACACGTTGCATACTGCGTGAGACAATACGTGTCTCACACTCGATTTGATCCTTGGACAGCGTGGCACAAATGGTGTACCACATTGTATACTTTCACTTAAACGGCGTGTATTACAAAAAGGTTTATGCGACTGTGCTATTTAAGCAGGAATGCAAAAAGAGCCGTCCTAGTGAGAGGCTGATATGCGCTGGAGGTTTGTTTTGATTTTATGAACCTATTTTTGGTAAGGTGAATAAAAAAATGTAAATAGTAAAAATTCTGTTTGAGTTTAAAGCTATAATAAGCATATGAAACATCGTAATATTAGTAAATTATAACAAAACATGTAAAATGACGAAAAAAAATATTATTTCTTGTTCATCTTATGTTCCTGAAAAAAACAAGGAATACAATAAATCATTTTACACCCATTGCATTGCCAAACTGATCGGGAACAAGTATTCGCTGCAGTGTTCCTGTCATTTGATTCTTTTGAGACCTTACAACACACAACACAATGGTTTCATTTATGGTGTACCAAAACGTGTTCCAGTTATTTTATATCATCTGATTTTTCTTCTCCATGTGGTTCATAGATGTTTACCGAATAATAACCATGCAGCTAACAGTTCTCTGTATTCCGTTATTTCAATTGTTTTCTGTGTTACCTCCTTATATATTAGAAAGAAATTTACTAATGTACATCCAAAAATCAGTTCAACTGCTAATTTTCGGTACCACTTATTACCTTGTCTAAGGCAATGAGAGTAAGACTTGAGTTGATCTGATAAATCAATGTAGCTCTTGCACCTGTTGTAACTAATGACAGCAGTTTGTTTCTCTATTTTGCCGCGTCTGTTCTTTATTTTAGTGGTGTCTATTTGAGGTTTTGTCGTAAACATCATTACATCACGTTTGTCTTTCCACTTTAGCATTACTATACCAGAAGGACTTTCTTCAGCAACAATTTCATTTTTTTTTAATTTAGTATTAACCACTTTGGGAGAATTGAGTTTACGATTAGCTTTTACAGTGCCAACTAGGTGTGTATTTCTTTCTAATAACTTGGTTGCAAGACTTACACTTGTGTAATAGTTGTCGGTGTATAAAGTACGCCCACAGTCAAGTAGATTATCCATCAAATGCAACACAACTCATGCGGAAGCACTACCATCATCAGTCTTATCATTACCAGAATACACTTTGAAATTGTATGTGTACCCACCTATAGTACATAATTTGTACAGTTTTAGGCCAAACATGTGCCGTTTGTTCTTTGTATATTGCCTAAATTTTAGGCGTTATCTAAACTGCACAAGCGTCTCATCTATGCATACTTCTTCACATGGCACCATTACTGCTTAAAACTGTTCAATTAGCTTCTCGAGAAGTAGAGTAATTTTTTTTTAGGCGATCATTTACTACAGATCGGTCATTATTGTCGCTAAAGTGCCACATCTTTAATAACTCTTTAAAATGATCTCGAGACATTATACTTTTTATCGAATTGGTATACAAAATGTCGTTACTCCAGTATGCTTTTATTTGAGTATATTTGACTAATCCCATCCACATAATAAGGCCACAAAATTTTTCCATTTCAGAAGTATTTGTGGAAACCCACTTCTTTTTGTGCTTTCTCTAATTTGACGGTGTAGTATAATTTTGTAAAACGTGCTGTGTATATAAGTTGATTTGTTCAACTATATAATTTATTATGTCATCAGTAAGGAAGATCTTGAAACAATCATATGGTTCTTGATCTATACAATTCACGTAATACGAAGATTTTATTCCGTCGTTTTCTACACTGTAATCGAATGTTTTCAGCGATGTTCCATCAACCTCCCTTCACTGAAATTGATCGCTATGACACACTTCTTCAGTAATTGTGGTCATATCAATTACTTCTTGTATAGTTACATCAATAATATTTGTTTCTTGTTCAACAGTCCTTCTCCTTTGGATTGAATTAGTTTCATGTGAACCAGATTCCAAATCCATCTACAGAAAGTTTACCTGTTTATTGTTGACAAAATAAAAATAAAGTTTCAATAACTTACGGTTGCAGAAACCACATTAGAAGTACCTTCGCCAGATCTTTTATCATTTTTCTTGATACGCCTTTTTTGAACTGGCTCCTCGCAACCATCAGAAGAATACTTATTGGAAGATTCAGGTTCATATTTTTCTGACAAATAAACATCGGCAAATTCGCTTTCATTGTCCTCATCAGACATAATCTCATCCCAAATGGCTTGCAGACGGCTCTGTTCTTTTTCATAATCTCCCATATTGCAATAAATGAAACGATAACAACACTCCGTCAGCAACAACTAATAACAACTAAGACTACTTCTAACTAGACACAGAATTCAAACGATCTGCAAATTCAGTCACCACACTACTGTTCCAAGAACCATGAATATGCATTTGGGGAAATATACGTGTACGCGTAAAAAACCACGCCAGCTGGAATAAACAAATTAATCCTTGGCCGGCGTGAAACAAACGTTGTGCCACAATGTATATTCTAAAAAAACTTACGATATATCGAAAATCAAACAAGAAAAATTACTGTGGCATGTTAATTAGATAAAAATGAATCTAGATACATAAAAAAACGCCGGCTGGGGGTATATTTTTTTGTACAGCCGTACGCAACGTGTTAACGTCTTAAATTTAAGGAAACATGACTCGTCTGATGTTTTAAAAAACAAAGCCAGATTTTTAGTTTTTAAAGTGTTTAGTTTTATTAAGTTACTATTACTTATTTTAAACAAAACAAAATATTTTATAAATTTTTGGTCGTTTGCTTTGTAAACAAGCACTATAGAATCCCTCTATTTCAAAATGAATTATTGGCGATTTACTATTCATTCTATTACTATTCATTATGTCTCCGGCTTCTGTATACAATGTAGCTTCACCTGTTTTTTGTTATATAATATATATATAAAATAAAATGTTTATGACATTCTATTCTTGTCGGATAGGCGACAATTGACGAAATGCCCATGAAGATGGTCTAGGGAGCGAAAGTATTTGGGCAAGACTAAATTAACAAAACTGTGCTCGATATTTGCCTTTTATTTGATCAGAGTTGATTTACTATTTGTTTGTATACCAGTATATTAAATACATTTTCCTGACTACCTGCAAAAATAAAATATTTTATATTAAATAAAAATAACTTAACAAGTCATTAATTTAACATACAGGGTATTTACTAACGTCACTATTTTATTGGCAGTTTGGTATGTAGAATCCCAACACTATTTAAAGTTCATCCATTTGAATACGCATCTGAAAATTTAATAAAAATTGAAGGTATTTAATGCCGATGCTTTATTCTATTATAATCAAATATTTAATTCATTATTTTGTTTTGTGTACCCGCTATTGATAAAATTTGGTATACTCGTATATTGTACATGTTACTTATCGGTATATGTCCAAGTTGTTTAATATTACATAAAAAAATTTTGTTTAAAATCCTTTATAAAAGGTATATAAAAATGCCCCAAACGGGCTATCACAAACACATTGCAAAACGTTTTCGGATTAAACAATCCATCATCAGTGCGAACGGTTGTACATGCTAGTAGCCACCAAAATATATGGGTAAAAACCCTTTAGATGTTATAAATTTGTAGTTGTTTTACATTATTAGTATTTATAATTTGTGATGTTTAAGTATTATTACAAATTATAAATACTAATAATGTAAAACAACTACAAATTTATAACATTTAAAGGGTTTTTACCCATATATTTTGATGGCTACTAGCATGTACAACCGTTTGCACTGATGATGGATTGTTTAATCCGAAAACGTTTTGCAATGTGTGTGTGATAGCCCGTTTGGGGCATTTTTATAAAGGATTTTAAACAAAATTTTTTTGTGATATATGGTATACAGCCAGCTACAGGAACTTAGTTTCCTCGTGGAATTTAATATTACATATTCGCATTTCAACGTTATGCTGCACTTTCAATCATTAGTCTTTGTCACAGTGTCTTTCGCCTCTTGTGTATAATGTTTTTTTAATATTCTTCTTATATTCTATAGATCTGTTCATGCGCAAGTTCATTTTCTAATTTTTTGTTCTTAATTCCACTTTTTTTCATGGCAGGATAATTTTTGGTTGCTTTGACTTTTGTGCAGAATAATTTTGTTTTATAATTTTGTTGTTTAATATACTTTAACTTTAATTAATCTCGTCACTGAAGGTGGATGGTGAGAGTTGGCATGCAAGTAACGATTAGTATGTGTGGGTTTTCGATAAACAGAGTAATGAAACCTTGTGATTGGTTTTTCTTGATGACAACATCGAGAAACGGTAGGGATGAATCAGTTTCCATCTCCATTGTGAACTGGCTACTAGAATGTATACCATTCAGGTGAGTTGGAAAAGATACTAAAGCATCCCTGCCATGGGCCAAATGACGAATGTATCGTCAACATATCGTAGCCAACATGTGGGCTTGAGCATTGATGTGGATAGTGCTCAGGTCTCGAAGTCTTCCATAAAGATATTGGCAATTACTGGAGATAGAGGGGATCCCATTAGGGCACCATTTATTTGTCTGTAGAATTTGTTTTGAAAGATGAAGTAGGTGTTGGACATACAATATTTAATGAGAGATAAGTATCTTGTTGAATACTGTATTTAGTTTTCAGAATGTTTAAACTTTCATCTATTGGAATGTTGGTAAAGAGTGAGACAATATCAAAACTTACTAGAATGTCTGACGGTGATATAGGGTATTGTTTAAGAAGTTCGATGAAATGAAAAGAGTTTTTGACGAAGGATGAAGCATTTTCGGCGAAAGGTTGTAGAGTTTTGGCCAAATACTTGGCCAAGGGTTGTGTAGGGCAGTTGTATGCACTGACAATGGGACGAAGAGCAATACCGGGTTTATAAATTTTGGGTAGGCCATATATTCGAGGTGTTTTTGAAGACTTTTCACGAGGAATTTGAGATTTTTTAAATTCAACAGGAAGAGAGGTTTTATTGATAATGGCTTTTGTTGTTTTCTCGAGATAGGTTGTTGGATTATTGGGAATTGGTATTAACGAGATTTGAGAGTTTATTAATGTAAGAAGAAGTGTTTAGGATGACGGTGGCGTTTTCTTTATCGGAGGGAAGAATGACTAGATTTGGATTTGACTGAAATTCCTTCAGGGCTTTTTTCTCGGATTGGCTAATATTTTGAATAGGCGGCTTTAAGTTTCTAAGAACTCTAGAGATGTCTTGCCTGGTTATTTCAGCATCTTCGGAAGATAAACTGGAGATGGCTTCTTCAGTTTGACACATGATTGTCTCAATTGGAATGTGACTTGGGATAACAGAGTAATTGAAACCTTTTGCTAAAGCTTGAGTGGCAATGGTTGAAATAGGGGTATCAGAAACGGTATGGACCAGTGTAGTGGGTTCCAATGTTGAGGTTTTTGGAATTTTTTCGGAAATGAGATTCAATCATTTACGTTTCTAAGTTTCAGTTTTAAATTCGAAAGTGTTCAGGGCTGATTGTGTATTGATACGGTCGAAACTATCCCATAATATAGGATGTACATTGAAAGAGTGAATAAATGACCAGATATTGAAAATATTGCTATTTGTGACATCTAGTTTTCGTCTAGTAGAATAAATAGCTTCACGGAGAAGCAAAAAGCTGGCCTTCCTAAAAAGTTTTAGAAACTTGGGAATGACGTTATGGTCTCGGCAGGCTTTAAGGAAAATTAAATCACAAAGAAGACAATTCTTACGTAGTAGTAGGTTGCTATATAATTTAGTGAGCTGGGTATCAACGTAGAGGCGAATAGAATGTTCGGAAAGATTTCCGCGGTTAGTACAATGAAATCTAGAGCTAAGATTAATATTACTACTAAAATTAATATCAAACCAACCAGTCTTCTGGGTTGAACCGTGTCGATATCCATATTAATCTGAGAGAGATACCAAAGATGCAGTTATCAGTTTGGTGATTATTTGGGTTTCATACTTTATGCCAGTAAAACTTCAAGAAAGAACAACAGTAGATTTTAACGATGGATCTTAATGCAAATACTTAATATCACAGTATAAGATGAACAAAGACATAGTTGAATTTATAATATTACTCCAGTAAGACAGGAACATGTTAAGCAATACAGACAATTTAATAACAAACGACAAAGCATAGAGGGTCAGATATAACCAACGTAACACATGATACATCAAGATGTATATAAATAAGACAAGATAGACCACGATGGATGAAATAGTTAAAGGTAGATTTTAAAAAGTAGATGTTCTTGTTTAATAGGACAGATACATATCTATGATATGATTGTACAGTTTGTCCCAAACCCTTTTTTCAGTGCGTCACTAATTTTGACGTCATATAGGATTTTAAGAATGTCGAGAATTATTGCATGACATTTTAGTTAAATCTGACAGTTGCAGGATCGTAATCGGCTAAACGTGAAAAGGTTATTTTTTTTAATGCATAGCAGTTTGTCATAATTCTATTCTATTCTGTTCTATTTTATACATTCCATGGAAAGTGCTTAATTAGCTAAGATTTGTTTATGGATTTATTATTATGTATTACAAACACTAGGGAATTGGAAGGTTTGTTTATTTAAAATAACGCTTCCTCCTAGAATCTTTTAAGAGTTGACTGCAAGGTAAAAAAAATTACTGACAATTGCAAGGCATCAAAGTAAACATTCCTGCGATAAAATAATATCGATTTAAATCAGTCATATTTGGATAAGGAATTTTCTGATAAGTTTGTGTGGCAGCCAATAGTTTAATTTTGTGAAGAGTTGTCATTAAATAGTGGAAATAGTTTTAAATAGTGAAGCAGTTGATTTTTGAGTTATTCTACCAGATTTGGTGTGCAAATGAAAGAAGGTTATAAAGTTTAGTTAAAAAAACAATATAAATAGTTTAAATAGTGAAGCAGTTGATTCTTGAGTGAATCTACCAGTTCCGATATCCAGATGAAATCGTGTTAATGGAGTTTAGTTAAAAAACAAGATACAGAATGTAAGTTTACCTTCTTTTTTATGAATAACAAAAATGAATATTATATTTCAAACAATCTATAATCCCATTCAGAATCTGATTCTTGAAAATCAATGATTACACTAGATATGTGGCTGGTATCAATTATATCCTACATTTCAAGAAAATGTCGTGGTTCTAAAAAGAACCGTTTTAATACATATAAATATCCATAAAGGTATTAGTTTAAGATATTTCCTCAATATCATTCCGAAATTCACAATCTGATTCGCGAG